CTATTCTATTTTACTTGTGGATATTTTCATTGTTATATGTTTTATCTCTTGGAAATATGTAGATTTCAGTACAAATATGAATTTGTTACCTTGAATTAGATCATTTAAACCACAAAACATTAATAACTGTTTTTAACTATAATTTTCAACTGTTGATTAAAGACTTTTTTTTTAGTTAATCAGTGACACATTCATTAGTATTTTCCTTAGTACAGTTAGTGGAATAATTTATAGGATTACGGATAAAATCTGTCCCTATATTAATGCTTGCCATGTGAGATGAGGCATATCTTATTCATAGCATGTTTGCTCCCATGTAGCAAGGGTCTTGTGTAGTTCAGTAGAGCACACAATGCTTAAAGCTTAATTTTAAAATCTAAACCAAGTCCAGTGTTAACTTGTATTGTGTGGTATTTTGTTATTTACATGTGAATATTTAGGCTCGGTATTAATTTTCTTTTCTTTCAAAAGCATGAAAATTTCTATATGGTATTAGGTCCATTTCTCAAAAAATTTGTGGTAAAGGACTAGTTTCTCCCCCACTGCCCCCTGCAATCCATTGTGGACTAATAACATGCAATTAAAAAAATAAAAAACAAAAAACAGACTTATAAAATACAGTCCCCAATATTTCATTCAACTCAACAGATACAAAATTATTCTATCAGATTACCATAAAGTGCCTAAATGCTTACTCTCATTTTCTATACTTATCTCATTACTGACTGGTAGCAGACCCTGGACCACACTTTGAACAGCACTATTATAGATTGTCCTCCGTGATAACAGTTTGGGAGTTAAGGATATATCTGCACCATATCCCCAATATCCATCTTTTTTGAAGTTTTTTTAGATCCAGTTTTTAAAAACTTGGATCCATTAACGAGTTCTCTAAGTTTGTAAATTGCTATACAGAATATTCTTTTGTTTGTCTAATATATCATTCAAGCTTCAACTGTCTCTTCATAGTTCAAATATTTGAGGATTTTGTGATTCCACCCTTTTTATCATATCTTTTCAGCTTTCTTTTTTCCAGACTCAAGAATTGTTACTTATTTAGTTTATCCTTAAAAGGCAGAGAGAGAGAGAATGAAGCTTTGAGTTTAGTTTAAAATCAGTGGTGTGAATGATGCATATGTGAAACCAAGGTTCCTAGCTCAATCCCCACATGTGTCATTTTAGTTCATTGAGAGAAAGTTTGTTCTATAATCTCTATCAGCTTTCCTAGTTGCTTCTGGTCACTAGTCATATCCTGGGAAAATTATGGATAACAGTGTAATTCTACCATTATTACTGGAAAAAGAGTGCAAAACTCTAATAATGAATCATAAGTGTAGTAGGAAGAGTGTTGGCTCTGAAGTCATTTTCCTATAGCAGTATCCAGATGTTCCAATACAGGCATGGAAAAATCATTTCAATTTCCCTCTTCAAAAAATAGGAATAATTTATAGTTCATAAGACTCATAATAGATGCTCAGTAAATGTTAGTACCTTTCCCCCTTTTTCTCCACAAAGTACCATACATTATATTATTATGTTTACGTTTTTCAACTAACTTGACTATTTCTCCATGCAGCCTGGAGGCCTTGGTTTACCTGCCACTGATCTTACAAATACTGGATTCATATTTTCCTTTTATTTGTGGGTTAATGTTCAGTTCACCTTTTCTTCCTAAATGCCCCCAAAATAACTCAGTTGAGAAGTCTTTTCTTCCATATCTGATTTTATTTTATCATCTAATCCCTGCATTTCTTATATTTGCAGAGCAATAGGTATTCCTCTAGCATCTAAAGACTCCGGGGCATCCAAGAGGAGATGTAAAGTAGGTAGACAGATACAAAAATCTGGAGCTCAGAAACAAAGATGTGAATTTGGAGATGTGCATTTAGAGGTCATTAGCATATAGATGGTAGTCTTAAGTATAGATAAAATTGTTCAGAGAGTCTAAAAGGAGAAAAGATGGAATTCTGGAAACAGACGCATTAAAGATGTGGAGAAAGCAGCCTAGGTAGGAGCCTGAAAAGAGCTTCCAGCAAGGCAGGAGAATCGAGAGAGAGCATGAAATAAGTAAAAACAGAGCAAAGCATTTCAAGAAAGAGGGAGTGGGGCCAGCCCAGTGGGCCAAGCGGTTAAGTGCACATGCTCCGCTACGGTGGCCCGGGGTTCACCGGTTTGTATCCCGGGTGTGCACCGACACACTGCTTGTCGAGCCATGCTGTGGCGGCGTGCCATATAAAGTGGAGGAAGATGGGCACGGATGTTAGCCCAGGGCCAGTCTTCCTCGGCAAAAAGAGGAGGATTGGCAGATGTTAGCTCAGGGCCGATCTTCCTCACAAAAAAAAAACAAAAAAAGAAAGGTAGTGATCAGCATTTTAAATATTGCAGAGAAGTTATGCAAGATCATAACTGAAATGTATCCCTTAGATTAGACAAATTGAAAGTCACTGTTTACCGTAAACAATTTTAGTAGAATGGGGCCAAAAACCAGACTACAGTAGATTAAGGAGCAAATATGAAGAGAGGAGGAAATCACAAATGTAGTTGTCAGTTAAACAGCTTATGGAGCAAATGAGAGAGGAGTGGATAGCTTCAGAGGGATGCAGATTAGAGACTGATTTGGTTAGTTTAGTGGTTTTATGACAGAAATTTAAGCATGTTTATATATTAAAGGAAAAGTGTCTGTAGAAACCAAAAAGCTATAGTGACTATTAGTAACTTAATAAGGAAAGCTGTTGGAATTTTCCCTACTTTTTAAGTGAAATTGACTTGGGAGTGTTTAAGAATTTGCCATAAATCATCTGGTTGTTTTTATATTATGATTTTTCCTGATTACAAGAATAATATATAATTGTTATAAAAAAATTCAAACTTTACAGAAGTACATAAGGTAGAAAGTAAAAGCCTTCTGTAATCTCAATGATAACTGCTATTAACAATTTTATATATGCTATACAAGTTTTTTTCCTTGTGCATATACGGTTTACCTATATGTGAGTGCATGCTGTTCTGTAGGTTTTTTCACTTAACAGTGTAGTCAACTGATAATTCAGTGATGGAACTAAAGGTAAAAATAAGCCTATCGAGATATTTACATCTTTGATATTTAATAGATGGTTAACTAACCTTCATATTCAGGAATTTTATTTACAAACATCTTTTCTATTCTTTGTCCTTCCTCTTTAGAGTGGATGTGACTGAAATTCAGATAGCTTTAGTGATCATTTTTGTGTTGTCTGCATTTGGAGGAGCAACCATGTGGGACTATACGGTAAATCGGAGTATTTAAATTTATATTTAAGTACTTTTTAAATATTTAGGAAAAAATATCACATTGTTAATTTTCTTCAGAAATCCTTGGCATTGTATTTATTATTCATTCCACTTCTTAACCTTTTTCCTTCATTTTATAACTTTACTATCCAATATACCTTATTATGGCATATTCCCCTATGTGTGAACATATTACCATATAGATGAAAATGACCCCATTTCCCTAATACAAAATTAAACACACGAGTTGAACTACCTTTTCCAGGCCAAAATTCATCTCATAAAATAGATATTTAAAAAAGTAAATTCAGTAAAACATTTTATGTTTGAAACTTGTCCCTCAATATTAGGAAAGAAAAGTTGCTAATTTGTATTTTGTATAATCTGTGAGGTATAGTTTCCCATATTAAGGAGTGTTTTTATTTTCTGATTGGTGGGTGACCTTGTATTTTGATAAAAGTTGACTCTCAGGCCACTGTCATAAATTCATCCTTTGCATAGGAAGAAAATTTATGAAGAAACTATTATTGTGTAACTTGAGTCCACAACCCTGGCTGCCTCACAGCCTCATGCCCATGGATTAAGAATAATAAGGATAATATCAGTAGCCAACAACTAACATTTATTCAATGTTTATTATGTTCCTAAACATTTTACTATCACTGTTTCATCTGACCCTCAGAACAGTCCTGTGAAATCGATACTATTATTATTCTGTTCTATACATGTCTCAGAATGATTAAGTAATTTGTCCAAGGACACACAGCTAGTAAGTGCTGGAGCTAGGAATTAAGTAGACTGATTCCAGACTCTGTTTGTAATCACTAAGCTATATACCTTTGGTAAAAATAGTAAGAGAGACAAAATTAAACGTACTCTTACCACTGCTGCAGCAACCGTGCTCCTTGGTATTTACCCAAATAAGTTGAAAGCTTACGTCCACACAAAAACAGGAGCACAGATGTTTATAGCAGCTTTGTTCATAATTGCCAAAACTTGGAAGCGACCAAGATGTCCTTCAGTAGGTATGTGGATAAATAAACCATGGTACATCCAGGCAATGGAATATTATTTAGTGTTAAAAAGAAAGAACTGTCAAGCCATGAAAAGACATGGAGGAACCTTAAATGCATATTACTTAGTGAAAGAATCCAATCCGAAAAGGCTACATATTGTATAATTCCAACTATATGACATTCTGGAAAAGGCAAAACGATGAAGACAGTGAAAAGATCACTGATTGCCAGAGGATGGGGAGAAGGAGGGATAAATAGACACAGTACAGAGAATTTTTAGGGCAGTGAAATTATTCTGTATGATACTATAATGATGAATACCTGTCATTGTGCATTTGTCCAAACTCATAGAATATACACCACCAAGAGTGAACCCTAATATATATAAACTGTGGCCTTTGGGTGATAATGATGTGTCAGTGTAGGTCCATGGATTGTAACAGATGTACCACTCTGGTGG